TGAATTGTATCAGGATGCTTTTGCTCAAGAAACACTTAGCTGTATGTTTATTTAGATTTAACTTATTTTCAATTGGTTTTGGCAGCTTTTGTAATCCTTCGTAAGTTCTGTGCAGGACTATTTTTCGCATTTTAGTTCTGCACAATAGACAGGTTCTGAGCTGAATTGATATTTGAATTGAAATTATGAAATCATATCTTGTCTGTAGAATCTTTTTAAGTGAATTTTCATATTCTTGTAGGAAAGGAAAAATGGCTGGATTGGTTTATATTATGATTTATGAGTATGCTAGTTTTTACAGAATTTGGGTTTAATTTTTATTTATAAAAAAAAAGTATGCTGTAAACACAGATTTTTTGTGTCGACAGATCAACCTTGCACAGCCAGGAACTATACATCAGAATTCACAAAAGGATCCCCAAAAAATCATTTTAACAAAGTATACCGAAAGCAAGATTCAAAAAAACTGATCAGCTTATCCGATTAGTCGAAAAGGATGCTGTTTTCAAAAATACATGATTGGTTTGTAACAAAACAGGCTTTTACCAATGTATAATTGGTCCCAGGTCATGATATACCACTCTACCTCCATAGAAACTGGTCCATAATACCTGCCTTTCAGTGCAAACATCTGCAATTCAAATAAAATCTTACTAACTTCTCGAATTTCCCAATCAAACAGGTTTCTGTGGAACTTTGGAGTCCAAAAGCTTTTGCCCCCATCCAATTGTAGTTCTGCCCTCCCCTTCTGCAATTGTATGTTTATTTAGGTTTAACTTATTTTTAATTGGTTTTGGCAGCTTATTAATCCTTTGTAAGTTCTGTGCAGGACTATTTTTCATATTTTAGTTCTGCACAATAGACAGATTCTGAGCTAATTTGATATTTGAATTGAAATTATGAAATCATATCTAGTCTGTAGTATCTTTTTCTGTGAATTGTCATATTCTTGTAGGAAATGAAAAATGACTAGCTTGGTTTATATTATGATTTACGAGTATGCTCGTTTTTACAGAATTCAGGTTTAATTTTATGATTGTTAAAGTAGGCTTTTCCCATGGACGATGGATCAATATCACATAAAATCAGAATGAATATTATGGTATAAGATTGGTTTGTAACAAAACAGGCTTTTACCAATGTATAATTAGTCACAGGTCATGATATCCCTCTCCACCTCCATAGATGCTGGTCCATCATACCTGCCTTTCAGTGGAAACATGATATCCCTCTCCACTAAATTGTAGTGCTGCCACTCCCCTTCTGCAATTGCATAGAGGCTTGGGAAAATGTCCATGAAGGGCCTGTTGGCATACCAAGCATCCAGGATCAACCTCCCATCTCAGAGGTCATATCAATAATAAAAGAATCTTAGGCTTTCTCTCTTCCATACTGAGCATCCTAAGGATGTAAACCTTTGTCCTGGATCCTATCCACCATTTGTAATCCCAAATTTGGCTCCAATAGGCTGCCTCTAGCTGCTCTTTTGTTTCTCTTTTTTATTGCCAATGTCATTTGCCAAGGAGAGCCACATTCATATCCTTCAACTTGCAAAATCCTAAGCCACTGCCTGATTTTGTGAATTAGTTTCTATCCAATCCACAAAATGAACCTTGTCTTCAACCCTACTGTTCTTCCATGAAAAGTGCCTCTAATTTTTTTCTAGGTTTTTCCTTTATTATAATAATTTTCCCTCCTTTTGATAAATAATTCGACTTCCATGACTTCATGAGGACAACTTCCTCTCAAAGAGTCCAATTACAAGGTTCCAAATTACACTACATTTGCACTTAGTAGCAACTTGCAATCCAACATATTTAAACCCCCCAAACTGCCCAACAGGAATTTGGTCATATACCTTCTCACATCAACTTTACATTGTAACCCAGACTGGGTCTGTCTTATGGATTCTTCTTTATTACCATAACTATAATCTCAACTCTGTTCAGGGATATTAAAAGATGAATAAACTGCAAATTCAAGTATGAAAAGTTCCCACTGTGGTTTATTGACTTTTTATTCATTTTTTAGGTTGGTAATAACTACCACATTGTGAATGTGTTAAAATATATGGCCATGTTGATCAACAACATATGAATTGACTGGAGTGGTTTTAACCAATCTCGTTCATGCTTAAGAATACCTTACAAGGAACTCCATTGATAAGCCCTAGTTATTGACAGTCAGAAAAAAAAAAGAAAAGAATAGAGAAAACATTTGCTTTTATCTTACAAGCTCACCTATGCAGTAACTTTTAAGAATCCCACTGATCTATTTTCTGAAAGCATGACAATGTAATGACTAATGAGGTTCATTTTTGTTGCATAGTTGAAGGCTGAATGGAATGATCTGGTGGATATCCATATTTTTATGAAAAGTCCTTATTTATTAATGCCCTTTTACCTCGAAGTCCTGAACAAAATATGTTTGTGGCTTGACTGCAGCAGTCAAATGAAAAGAAATAGACGGACTCCAAATCTGTACGTTGGTCCTACAATCCTGAATGTGCATCCTAATTGTAGCAGTCCCTTTTGGTTTTAGCTTTAAAAGGACAGTCTCTATTGTTCTCCCGACTTCCCAAGGAGAACACCTTCAATAAGTAGGGCTATTACCCAATGATAGTCTTGACCAGCAGTACTAAAGTACAATAATACAATATAAAGAATCATCAATTTGGTCTTACAATTCCTAAAGTTGCAATGCCTTTTCTATCTCACTGTTGTCCTTTCCTTGGGATGCACTTCCCTAGGTGAGTAATTATATAGATTGATAATTACTAAATGATGTTGCTTGTATTCTTTTAAGTTTTCATAATAAATGAGACAATTTATTTGGCGTTCTTCCTTATTTCTGGTCTTCTTATTTTGTTGTCTCTCCTACTTGTTTAATTGTTGAAGGCTTGATGCATGACTCACAGATTTGGAGCAGTTGAACTTAATGTGTCAGAATGTTATGTTCTAAATTCTAATGTTATGTGACCATCTTTCCTTGTGCCTTTCTTCTGTCAAGACATTGATTTTCTCTTTTCTTGCCATGAGTTCTTCATTCGTAGACTCTTTTTGTCTTTTTGTCTTTTTTTTTGATAAGCACCAGCTTCATTGGTTGACTGTTATTCTACAATTTCCATATGGATGTCTACATGATGGCTATATATACCTGGATACCTGCACAAGGGTGTCGTATCATGTATGATGCTTCAATTTTTAGTGTAAATTCCATATCAGACACCATCTCCAATCCATGTTTGCATTTGGGCAACATAGCATGACAAAATCAAGCAAAATAGATAATGAGGTTGTCATTAGACTGAAAATGCAATAGACTAGACTTAAAAATAAAATAATGGAACAAGAAAAGCAGACTTAAAGTTGTTGTGTGTAAATAAATAAATAAATAAAATTAACAGCATGCACCTTAGGGACCTATGATATTTCAAGTTAATGTCTGATTCTTTTTTTTAGTTACTAAACCCTTGATGACAGAACAACTTATATGGCATCAAATTTTTGACTACTTTTTTTTGTCAGAAAGGTAAATTTTATTGAAAATCCAGAAGATGGTGCTTATGTACAAGGTATACATAGTTCTGTATAGGAATAAAATAATAATGAAAAAAACATCCTTTTCCATCCCTTTGTTTCACTGATAGCATCATTGTATTACAATATTAACCCAATGGATATTCTCCCCAAGACAGCTGTTGTCTACACACCTCTTCACAAGCTAGGGAATTAGAACCCGAAGTATTTATGCTTGTGTTCTTTGACATAGTTGTCTTGCTACCCTAAACCCTAATCATGTTCCTTAGGGCCCAAGGACCTTCTGCCTCTCATCTTTGCCAGCTTATGATTGATCTTGAAAAATCTGAAAAGCCTAAATGCACTGTTGTTCGGCCAAAAAATTGGCTTTCCAGTGAAGCTTCTTTTAGTAGCTTCTTCAAATCTATTCAATCAAAGTTTCTGCCTACCCAAACAGGCCCTTAGTCTTAGTTTGTTTGCAGTGCAAAATTCAGTTGCACCAGTGTAGATGCATGTGAGTGCAAATTCTGGTTTAATTTTGTTTTGATTTGACTTTGTCTTATTTTTGAGAAAGTAAAATAGGAAGTAAAATGGAGTGGTGCCCAAGAGAATAGAGATTAGGATGTTATTTGTTTGGGAGTGTATAAGAAGAACCTACATGATGTTATCCCTGGTTTATATGAGAAAACATTCAGGAAGTGCTGGTACAAATTTTGTATCCATTTTTGGGATGCAAAATTTGAACTGTAAATGGGTGCAAATGAGACAAAAAAAGTACAATTCTTGTATCAGATAGGAATGCAGATGGTAGCTACAAATAAACAGATACACAACTGAAATAGATGCAAGATTTACACTGCAAA